ACAGTTATGCAGCTGTTGGAAAAGTCAAGTGGTTTAGCAAGCTCTTGTCTAAGAACAACTCTTTGCCTCCCAATCTTCGGGATCACTCAGGCTCACAGGAAAATCAACTGCTCTGAGCAGAGCTAACAACTCTTAAGTAAGTAGCAGTAGGGTCTGAGTCAGCCTCTAGTCCTCTCTTGAAGGACTGAGAGGTGCACTTGCCAAGGAAGTTTCTGTCTGGAAGGAAACCCAAGGAGCATATTGGGGCTCGGACAATACCGAGTCATGGAGTTTAGAAGGAGCAGAAGTAGCGTTCTTTTAGGTCTTCCTTTAAGGCTCACGATCACCATCTCCTACACCTACTTCACTATAAAATCCCACACAGTGCTCTGCATCCCTTAAGTAGCATGCCATTGGAAATCAATAAAACAATTTCATCTACAACCAGCCTAAATGCATTCAGCATAGGGCTCGCTTTTCCTTCTCAGTATTTGTCTTCAATCATCTTGTAATGCAGAAAAAGAGAAGATGAAAGAGAGAAGAGGGGGAAGGACGATGAAAGAGAGAAGAGGGGGAAGGACAAAGAAAGGAAAGAAGGGCGAGCAAGCTCCATTTAAGCAAAACACCGGAGTGCTGATGCATTTAAATACACCTTAACATACAAATCCCTCTGACCAATACAGGTATTGTTCTTCATAAGTTTGATGATCATTTCCAGAGGCACCTTCTCTTTGTTATATGGAGTAGATATCAAAAGTAGTATAGTAATCTTTGAAGTTGTCATAATTCAAATCTTTTTTTTTTTTTGGTACTGGGGATTGAACTCAGGACCTTGTGCTTGCAAGGCAGGCAGCAGAACCACTGAGCTAAATCCCCAGCCCCCATAATTCAAATCTTTGAAACTGGCTGACACAAACAGATCAGTGTGCTTCTAAGTTATAGTTTGAAAACACATCACCTGGGGATGGTGCTGAACTCCAGATTCTTCTCTGTATTGCTAACAAGCTTACAGGTGGCAGCCATAACCTTGTAGAATTGATGAGAAAGGGTACAGAAGGCAAACTCAAACACGGTACAAAGCTTCTGAAAATCAGTGTGAGAGGTGCCACTCACACCGTCACCAAAGGGTTAGTTTTCTTTGGTTGTGGAGCACTGTCATTAGCTTCATGAACTCTTATATACATTTCCACCAGACCAAGTGGAAGTTCCTGTGTTGCCTATTATGATATCACATAATCATTGGCATACATTTTTTATTAAGTTTATTGGTACATTTTAGGTATACAATATGATGACATTCATCATTGGGAATTTGCACCTTTACGTGATATCTCTTGGTTCTTATTTTTCCCCATTCCCCTGCCCTCCCTTCACCCCCTCCACCCCTCCCTATTTACAAAGACTTTGTTTCCATTTTTTCATTTTCTCATATTTATTCCTTTCCCTTCTTTCCTTTCCCCTACCCCTACTACTCCCCCTTCCCCTTTGCCCCTTTTCTTCCCATTTCCCATTATCTATTATACATTTTGATCCTCATTTACACTTTCAGTTTCTCACACCAGAGAAACTATTCAGTTTTTACACATGTGAGTCCTATTTATTTCACTTAAGCGTATCACCTCAATGTGCATTCATTTAGCTATAAATATTTCTAGTCTCTCATTCTTTATGGCTGAGTAGTACTCCATTTTATAAAAAAAAAAAATGCATCTTCTTTATCCAGTCTCCCGTTGATGGGCAATTGAGCTGTTTCCAAGTTTTAGCTCTTACAAACTATGGCATACATTTTTTAATTGGCAAATTGTGATGGATGCATATTTTATGAATCTAACAATATTAAACAATTACATTTTTTAAAACATAACAACCTTTTGGGGCCAGGGATTTAGCTCAGTGGTGCTGCCGCCTGCCTGGCAAGTGCAAGGTTCCAAGTTTGATCCCTGGTACAAAAAAAAAAAAAAAATGGCAACCTTTTGCCTCTTAGCGGTTGACTCCATTTCCCCATTCCTCTGTTTTTTCTTCAAGTGCTTCTTCCCAATTATTTCTTTCTCTGTGGCTGTTCCTGAAAGCCAGTCCTGACACTCCACTCCGTTCAGGGAATATACCTGCAGGGCCAGCACCCCAGCGTGGGCCAGCGCAGCACTTCCATGCCCACCTTGGGCTTTTGCCAAACAAAGCCGATCTCTCAGGTTAAAGCTGGACCTGGGTAGGGGGTCACCACCAGGGGCGGGGAGAACTGTGCTAAGACAAGTAAGTCAAACCCACTCACTCACGGTCAGCCCTGGGGAAATGGGGCCTCATCCTTTAGCTCTTTAAAATTTCTCCATAACAACCAGTCTTGTGCATAAAAAATTAAGTCTATTCATGAAAAGAATCAACATTTCCACCAATAGGGGGATAATTTTATATATATAAATGTGTATGGTGAAAAATTATACAGCCACTAAAAATGATGCTAAAATGCCTATGATATAGTTTGGAAAGTAAGGCAGGTAAACAGTAGCATAATTCCACTAAGGTTTTGTAGGAAAGCATGTTTTGTGGGGGAGGGGGGGAAGTATGGAACAATTCGTTTTTTAAATGCATAAGCAATTAACTCAGAATTGTACAGAATGTTTATTTTGCTGAATCCAGTCTCTGAGTTTGCAGAAATGTATTATTTTTAAAATACAAAACAAAGCTATTTCCATTTGTGGGGAAAACACCTACACAGCAACTATTTATGAACCATGACCATCTGGGGAGGTGGGAAAATAGGAGTTTTGTGAGTCATCCATATCACTATTTAATTCCCTCCTGGGTCCTTTAAATTCCAACTATGGCTTCAGCATCTCAGGAAGAGGAGCTAACTTACCCTTAACAGGATAACATTTTGATCAAAATCACTTCCTGGATGAAATTGTGCTCACTAAATAGAAACTAATTTCATCATTACCTTTTTTCCACAGCCTTTCGATGATTGATTTTAAAAGAGAAAATAACATTGGCTTTTGAAGTTTACTAGCATATTTACCTGTATAGGACTAACCACGCATGATAGCTAGTTTTCAGAGATGTGAAAAAGCACATTTTTCAGTATTCACAGTGGAAATTACACTACGTGATTCACTTGGAGCTTCTGCCTGGGCTAATTTTGGGGGGTGTAACTGCTATGGAAGAAGTCTAACTACCTTGAGATAATTGGCCTCTAAGGAGCCCATGCTAACCGAGAAAGAGAGAGAGAGAGGCCCATGTAGCCCTGAGACAGTTGAACTACCCCAGCCCAGACACCAGCCATGAATATAGAGAAGCCCCCTGGGACTGACCCCAGCCACCATCTGCTGTCCACTACACAAGAACCAAGCAAGACTTCCCAGCTGCAGCCAATGGGCCTAAAGGATCATCAGAACTACTAATAGACTCTCATGGGGCTCACTGTGTTTCAATACATAAATGACAACCTCAAAATGCTTTTGTTATTCATCCAATTGCCTTTCTCCATTTTTTGACGTGAATTTAGTTCCCATCATATCTTCGGCAGGGACCCATTTTGATGTGGTAGATTAGTATGGATCAGTATGAAAAGTGTGCAAAGAAGGCATTATACCCATCAGAGAAGTATTTTCAGAACTCACGATATGTTAAAGTATAAAAAGAAAGAATGGCAGTAGAGAAGCAGATGAAAGAGCAACCTTCATATAGTATGCCTGAGAACTTTGTTTGTTTACGGCCTCTGTGCCAGTTACTCTAATTGTCAGTTGGACTGGACAAAGAGACTCTTGGGGAACAGATGAGCTTACAGGGGCTCTATACTCATCAGTGGACTCACCTGCTGGCCTTCATAGCTGAACATGCTATTAGAAGGTGGGGACAGTTGGAGGAGGTGGGTCACTGGGCGCCTGCCTTTGGGGTTGTATCTCTCGCTGGCTCCCTTCCCCTGTACTCTCCTTTCCAGTCACCATGAAGTGGGCAGCTTGGCTCTACTGCATCCTTCTGCCATGATGTTTCTGCTTGGGGCCATTTCCTTCTTTAAGTTGTATGTCAGGTATTTTGTCCCATCAATGAGAAAGCTAATATACCCTTCCTCTATGCATACCTTCACCTCTTAGGAACTTAAAACAAGATTCATAATGCCAAGACAGCTGATCACTTGAAGATGAAGTACCACAGCAACCTTAATACAGTCCAATGGAAGAGAGATTTCAAAGTTTATTAATTCATTGTCCTTGGGATATCATTTGAGTGACGTATGCAAGAACCATAGGAAGTCCTCCAGCTGGGACTGTAACCCGGGAAATGATGGAAATCTAAGGTGAAAAATCAGGTGCTTTTAAGGAAGTCTACTCCTGATCAAGCAGCATCAACTTGTTTAAGCAAGAAGCAAGATGGGGTGAATGTATCCCTCCTGGTACAACTGGGGATTCATTCCTACTGTTAATGTGGAGTTCTAGTAATTCTCCAAAGTGCATTAATATGGATACAAGTCAAATAGATCTCAGTTTCTAGAACTTTGCAGTGCAACCCTATTTCCTTGCACTAGCATTTTCTTTCTTTCTCTGAACATCTGGACCATGACACTGCCTTGTTCTATAAAGAAATGTCCTAATATTACACCTATACATCCAGGAAAAACTCAAAGACTAGTTGGCTTCATAATTTATTATCAGGAACACATGGAAGCCATAAATGAGTTGGTTTAACCTTTTCATTTAAGAAATCTGGATGGTCCTCACCACAGTCATCTGAGGTTATAAATGACATCTTGGCCTTCACTTCTAACCTAGGCTGTCTATAAGAATATTCGGTCTGAAGTACACTAGAGATAAAATGAATTTTTCATGAATCTTCAGGGCTATACTACTGCTGAGTTGTTCTGCTCTGTTCTTTTTGGAAGTGGGTGATAGAGGTAGGAGAATAAGGGAGGGGGAACAAAGAGAACAGTCCAGTTAATGCTTTTCCTCAGATGGTCACATACTCATCAATAGGATATTCCTGGAGCACAGGACTTCCATGAACAACTCAAGGAAAATACAGACTCGCTGTACTTTTCAAAATGTCTTTTATTGGTTGTACATTTCTTATGAGATCAACACACCATCTCTTTCACGGACACCTTGTTCCTGAATGCTGATATGGTTTGTCCCAGCTACGAAAGTCATAGCAAGCACTTTGAGAGAAAGAGGTGGTCGGGTGTTTTTGTTTGTTTGTTTTTGTTTGTTTGCCATTATCACTTTCTTCTTGATACCGAAATGGTTATTTGAGTCAGTTCATAGATTGACATTACATTGAACACAACACATAGGGTGTGAAGTTGTACATACACACACACAAACATCTGGGGACCAGCTACAGTGTCAGCAGCTGGTTCTTTCCTCCTCAGCAGCAGTATGAAACTGAAAAATATCCTGAGATAGGAAATCAAAGTGAGTGCTCCTCATGACCAGAGGAGTTCAAGTTCACCTTAATTTCCCAATTTCATTTTCCTTTTGAGGGAGTGAGTGGGGAGTCATACAAGCCATGTCACCACCTCCTGGTTTAACATCTCAGCCACTTCCTTGGTCAAAAACATGGATTCAAAGAAATGTTTCATAGCACATCAGAAACATTTTTTTCAATATGCTCTCAGAAAGAAGGAGAAATTGATAAGATTATGCTCTTTATAAGATACCGTGATTGAAACCTTATATATTCACTGATAGAAGCCAATCACCAGATTATGATGTATGCCCATCAATGTTATTTGCATGAAACGATGAATTTCTCTCTCAAGAACAGAGACCTATGAGAGGTGACTTCTCCAAATGTTATAAACAAACACGACTTCTTTAGAGCTCTGTTATGCCTCAATAAAGTATATTTCTGGAAGCACTTAACCTGTAACCTACATCAATCCAAATCCTGCATCTACCTCAAGTCCTGTGCACTGGCTAGCCCCTTGGTTTCGGGATTTTGAGATAACATCACCATTCTGATAAGCAATAGTTCAAAAGAAAAAGCAGACAAACAAACAAAAATGCACACAACCTGGATAAAAGGAGAACTAGGCTAAAATGAGAGAGGATGGGAACAACCAAGCCAACAGGCAAAGATCAAAAAGAGGCACTGTCCACCAAAAGGTATTTTTAAATACAATCCTGGGGCTTCGTAGGAGTTATCATTTGAACATTCGCAACTTCCCTTTCCCCACACAACGATGGGAAATGTTTTCACCTGAAGAACGCTCCCCCCCATATTTCCATGAAGGAAAACACAACATGAAATACGCACCCCCCCCCAACTCTCTCCCCCTGCAGCTCCCAAGCAAAGACATTCCAGAGCCACAAGTTAAATTTAACATTCACCGCAAAGGCATGGAAACATTCCACCCACATGCATAGACTTCTAATGAATTCCATACTCTACAGTTCAGCCTGCCTCATTCATAAAGAAAAGATACTGCAACCCACAAAGAAGAGATGATTCCAACCAGGGAAGGCTAGCAGCGAGCTGCACATAGCAGGAAAGATGCAGGAGCCAATGAGGGAATCCACACACCATGATTCATCCTGCTGATTCAAAGTCTCCAGAGACACTAAATTTAAGTACTGGAGATATGAGTTTTGAAGGAAAAGGAGTATACAACCTTTCTGATATACTTTCAGAATACTTCAGGTACCAAGAAGAGGTAACCGGCTCCTAAATAGCTTATGGAATTATAAGCATCAAGGTATGTTTCATTCCAGCATGGAGGCATGTTTCCACTGCCCAATAACATCCTTTACAATGAATATGGTTTAAAAAATAAATTTGGGCTCCAATATAGGAAAACAATCAATCATACATACAGATAAAAATATATATCCTAAAATTCACAGAATGAAAAAAAAATTATTTTCTTAAAAAAATATATGAAAGCAGCATTTTCATCTATGAAACAGAAGTACAAAGGAAGCTAGGGAAATCCACCTATTTTACCCAAATTCCTGTAATGGTAATTCCACAGAGAAGCTCTGTTTAGCATCTCATCAAGATTTTCTCAAAATATACAGAAAAGTGTTCAAGGGTTTAAATAGAGAATGTGAAGCCATATCTCTAACATCTCGTTCAGCCAACTCTTTTCATTTAAAATATTTAAAATGACCCAATTTGGTGATTCTGTATAGCAGGAGATAAGTTCTTATTGGGTAGGTTAATTACACAAAGAAACTGTTTCCTCTAAAATATACTTACCATTCTGTTAAAATGTCATTTCATTTCATTTCATGTAGAGAATCACTCCACTCAGAAAATAAATTTTGGCAAAAGAATAAATCAGACAGAGGGATAAAATGGGAGATAAACTGTCCACATTTTCTTAATCAAACTTTGTCGAGTAGCTTTTTAATATAGAGATTAGCCAAGAACAATACACACAGTTGTTGCTCAAGGAAACTTTCTGACAATATAATATTCCAAAATGGCTCCTGTGAAACACAAGCTGCCACGTTTCCTTTTGTGCAAATCTCTACTTGTGTGGAAGGCACAGGGCAGGTTCAGTTCGTGTCTACGTTGGTATCTGAGGCCTCCCTTGTGCCCAGTTCCTGACCAATACACCCTTGGAGTTCTGGTTTCCAATGTCTGTAGCAGGTCTCCATTGCCCTCTAACTACGACCCTTCTGTAAAACCCAGTCAGGGGTAGTGGTTAAGTTCCTTTGAGTCCCAGCTAGCATTTGGTCTGTGTCACAATTGCTTAAAGAGCTTTATTTTTTTCCTACAGGGCCAATGAACAAAAATTATGACTCCTTCCTTTGCAACCCTAGAAATGTAAAAATGATGCTGCCAAGAGCCCAGGAATTCCCTCCCTGTCAGGGAGAGGAGGAAGGGGGGTCAAGCTGTTCTCAACTACTTTAGAAAAATAACCCATTTAAGGACCTATATTACATGGCCTTCACATGTTGATTTCAGGCACTTACTTTGAAATCATTTCTGCTTAAAAATTAAAATAAATAGTCCTGTCCTCTTGCTGTCTCCACTCCCTAACCCTTTTAGCACGCTCAATACAGCAAAAACCAGGATTCACAGGCATGGTTGGCTACAAAGTTTCTCAGATTGGAGGGCTCTTTGAGATATGCAAGTGGTCCTTTCATTCCTGGGGCCTTAGAAGCCACAGAGACTGGAGGTTGATGGAGTCCAGAGGAACAAAGCTGACTTTCACCACATTCTCTTCCTTTTTGTTCACAAAAGATCCTCAAAGTACTGAAAATCCAAACTAGCTTTGAGTGATAAATTTGTAAATTATAATTCTACTTCTAGCAAAGACGTGTAATGTATTTCTAAAAGCATTCACAGCTTTCTGCACTGTGGGCATGCAAAATGTATCTATCCCATTCAGAAAACCTTGTATGGTATCCACCTTTCTTAAAACTGCCACCAGAATTAAAGGTTAGGAAGCTCAAGCTCAGGTTTTGTGTTCATATTTCTTTACTCAAAAAGGAGCTGGTGAATGAGCTGTATACACTCAAAATGCTGTAAGCAATTCGTTTCTTTTTCTCAAATGTCTTAATACCCCATATGCACTGACTTTTGTTGCAGATGCCATCGGTTTAAAACGGAGACCCTCCAAAAAATAAATAAATAAATAAATAAAATAAAAAATAATAAAATGGAGACCCTGGCCGGGGATTTAGCTCAGTGGTTTCGCCACCTGCTGCACAAGCGTAAGAACCCGAGTTCGATCCCCAGTAACAATAAAATGGAGACTCTCTAGAATTAATGACATTAGAGAAAAGGAAATTTTCCGATATTCAAATTAATGCCACTATCTGAATCTGCTTATATTTCAGTATTTTTTATAGAAAAAAATACAAGTTCAGTGTTTTGATGGGTTTCTCCACTGAGGAGCATCTCCATAACATAAGTTAAAGGACATATCTTTCCTTTCATCTTTTTATCAGCCTGCTTTTTCCAGGGGTTTCTCATTCAGTTATTGCTCTTTGCATTTATCTTTCCTCCCAATCCACAAACATGATTTCACATCACCGTTCTGCTTTAAACTCCAAAATCCAGTGATAATACCTGAAAACAGCACCCTCACTTGCTCTGTTTAAATATCCTGCAGTCTCTAATACAAGCATTGGTAGTGATCCAATGATGCTAATTACTCATTTCCAACTGCAAAATATTGCTGAAGGAAAGCAGATGCCCAATCTAACTGCTCTTTTGGAAAGGCTAAATGGAAGTTCTTATTATAAAGGCTCATACTTTATTGGGAGTTTTGGTTAAAGTTCTCTCAGAAATCCCTTACATTTTCAAGAATCGGGAAAACCACAATTCATTTAGTCACATTGGTGCACAATTGTTAATTTTACTTTTTGGTATATAAGAATGGATAGACCAGTTCCTTTTCACAAAAGTATTAAGTCATCTCTGATTTGCCAAGGGATGCTATGAGGAAAAACATTAAAAACGGTTAATGGCCCACTCTAGGAATTATTTAGAAAATTGTTTCCCACATTAAGACACGAGTAAGTGCCTACCCTCGCCTTTGCTTTCCCAGAACTCAATTGCCAACCCATAAAAGCCTCATTGCTTGAAAGAGACCCTGAATTTCAGAAAGGCAAATGTGTAAACTCAGGAAATCTGAGAGCACATCAAGATTAACTCCACACAAAAACAAAGGTCTGTCCATATTGACAGGTGTAAGAACAAATACAATGGAAACCTTTCAAAATCTAACTGGAAACTCGCAAGAATAAAAGGCTCAGTGCTCCATTCCAAGGATAATACAAGTAAGGTCAAGATACTAAATGTCTAAGGAGTTAGCATATTTTAAAATTCTATCAATCTGTTTGCATTAGGAGGTGATACTGGCTTCTGAAAAACAAGAATTCCCTACTATGAAATCTCTGACCTTGCTTTGCATCTCTCTCTACTTAGGCTACAGTCCTCTTTACTTCAAAAGAGAAAGAGGCTTTTAAAGGAATTTGGCTTGAAAAAGTTTGGGGCAGGAAATAAAAAGATTAACCCAAGTAAATTCTTGATTCGAAAGGACACCAGTTGGAAACGTGCAAAAGCATAATATTTGCATAGTTGTAAATAGCAACTCTCTAAAACTCAGAAAAAAGACACATCTTCTTGGCAGTCACCAGAAACAGGTGGCAAGTGATGGATTTGATGGCAGTGTGCTTCCCTTGGGAGGATAATTTCATTTTGAAGGCTCTGGAATTCAGGCTTTGTTTGCTAGGTAAAGAAAAAATATTCTTTTAGGTAAACTGACAGATCAAACACTTCAAAATGCCTTCTTAAGGATTCCAAGTGTGATACAGGGCATTTGGTTGACCATGCAGTCGGAAAATATATTTCTGAAAAGTAACGAGAAGCTTTAAGAAGTGTTCTAGGAGAGAAAGAAAATGCAGGCCACTCTCCCAGAGTCATCTGCCTAGGACTCTGCGCAGCTCAGGGGTGCAATACTGACAGATACTGGGCCAGTTATGCAGCTGTTCTGGTTCCTTAGAAAAGCGCAGAATCTTGCACCAGAGGCTTTGGCATCCAAAAATTCAACCATAACTGACAACCCAAGAAAAATCAAATCAGAAGCAGCCATTCTGCAGGGGTCCCCTTACTGATGATTTGAAAAGAAGGGTCCTCCTCTAGTTTTGGGAACAGCGTACAAGGGGTCTACATGAGTCTTCAGTCACAGTGAGAAGGAAGCTCACTGAGGACAAGACTACCGGGAGACAGGCTCCAAGGCCCCTGAGGCTATCTGAGAACAAGACTTTGACCTCAACATATTCTTTCTTACTTCCTGAAAACATGGACAAATCCAAGAGGTGGATGAATTCCAAGATATTAAAAACTATATCTGCCTTGTACTTCTGAGGTGAGTTTGGGCTTCAAAATTCCCAAATCTTATTACAGTTCAGGGAATAGGGAAACAAAATTATTAATGTCTCGGTTCATGATTCTTCTTGTATGTGAATCATACCACAGAGAGGAATAAAAAAACCTAAGTTCCAGGATACAGTTAACATCTAAGAGAATGTGACTTTTTATTTCCAAAGTGAAGTAAGTTTTCTTGGTGACTGTGTAGAAATTTTAAAAAGTAAATACTCCATTTTATCTGGAGAAAATGGTTCCATCATCTTTCAGAACAATTAATACTTATTTGAGGAAATTAAGAGGCAACGTTCATGGTACAGAACAGGCTGTCCCTTCTAAATTCATTTTCCTATGTCCATCCTCCTAATCTGCCTGACATCACCTATACTAAATAGGCATGAAATGGAAAAATGCTGCTTATCTTTAATTGATTGGATTGTGGTGGTGTTGATCTAAGACAGGCATTGGCAAATGATGGCCTCAGGGCCAAATGTGGCCCATTAATTGGTTTCGTAAATAAAGTTTGATGGGAACATAATCGTGGTGTTCATTCATTTACAAATTGTTTATGGATGCTTTCACAGGACAACAGCAGATTTGAGTAGTTGCAACAAATACTACATAAAACACAAAGCCAAAAATATTTACTATTTGGCTCTTTACAGAAAGTTTCTCAACTCTGGTCTAGGACTCACCATCTACATTCTAGAGAACTGAGTCATGGATCTGATAGGGTCTATAAGCGCGACACCCTGCCAATAAAGAAATGTTTGCAAATTATATGTTACCGGTATGATGGACACTTTCCTGGAGAGTCCTAGCTTTCAACAGATTTCTGAAGGAATTTGGAGTACCGCAATTAAAGCCAAAGAAAACTAAGGAGTATCTTTAGCTGTGAGCACATTTAACAGTGCTAAAACATACACACACCCCTAGAAAAGAGGAACATAAAACTCTCAGAATATCATTTTTCTATTCATTGGGTTTGGTAGCTTCCTCTTTCTAGATTTCACACGGGCATTGTTCCTTCTGAATATGTAAGTTTTCAGGATCTAAGTGACAACTGTACTTTTCATTTGAACAGGGGGAGAGGGAGAGAAAGTTCCATGAAGGTGACATTTATTTGAATATCTTTCACTTGCTAATTCAAGAAAAGTGGAAGAATCCTTGAGCCAGCAAAGTCCTGTTAAGGCAAAATCCCAGCACAACAGAAGCATAATTCATTTTGCTAGATCTAAATAACAGCTCTGATGAATTTTATGAATACATAAATCTTACCATCAAGGTTAGAAGGAGTTAAATAGCCACACACACAAAAAAAGCGTTTGAGTGAGAAATTAGGAACTAGGTATTCATCGAACTTTCAGGCCAAAGACAAAGTGTTTCTGTTAGACACTTTTGAGAAAAACAGAATACTTTCTCTAAGCACAGGTGATGAAACCCCCTGTTAGTGTTAAACCTAAAACATCAGCCCCTTTCTGCTTCCTTTGTGATTATATTACAAAGAGGCTATCAAGTTCACTTGGAGAAATCAAGGATCCTATTAGCTTTGCACTAATCTCCTCTAGCGCTGGAACTTACAAGTATTTCATTTTCTAGATTATGACAATTGGCAATGCAGGTGTGAGGACCAGCAAAGAAGCATAGGATATCACTAAAAATGAGTTAGTCAGAGGAAGGCAAAAACAATAATAACAATGATAACAAAACAAAGAGTGAAATCATATAGAGGGTTGAACGTCCAAGAATTCAATTTTGAAGGTCACTGACTGTAGGGGAAACATCAGCACAGAACGTATCTATGGTCCCCAAACTGTGTGTTTTGAGATATCCTGAGACATCACTATAAATTCACAGCTACAGGAAGATACGGTACGTTTTTAAGGGAAGCACAGTGACATCTGTAGGACATGGAGCAAACGACTACTATTAAACTCTGGGAACCTAATTCCTTGATACACTCAACTATTAACTATTTTGCCCTAGGGCAATGTGAAAGAAATCACTACGACAACTAATGGCACCATAAACAGAGAAAGACTGGGAACCTCTGTCATATACTGGATAATTTTTTGTTAGGTCTGGAGGATATACAGGAACTATAAAATACAAACAATTTTGAGCTGTGCCACACATACTTGTTTCCATTTCAAATGGCCTAACCAAGATAAAAGCTGTTTATTTAATCAATTATTCTGACTTTTTTCAGAGTGACCAAACAGAGCCTTTGAAATAATGGATTATTCCTCCATCCAAGGCCTTCAGTCATACCTAAGAGATGGGTATCTTGTGTAAAACTGATGATTATATTGATATTTTATCTATCTATCTATCTATATATATAGAGAGAGAGAGAGAGGAGTTTTTTTTCTTCCTCAAAGTAGTCATTTGGGGATACGCAGCAAGGTTGCCTTTGCTTAAAACAAGCATACACTTTTGAGGAGGAAATCACCATTTCAAATTATCTCCTGAGGCCATGAAATATTTTACAAAGATTTGGTGATGGTAAAATTTCAACACTGAGGGCAAATTTAACTTGTAGAAACTGCTAAACACAATTTCCTGCTAAAATTTGATAAACCAGTCAGGTGAGTCAAACTGGAAACTAACTACTAAGGACTTTTATTAAAAAATTATATAAAACAAAGAAACAAACAAAAACTGAAGAGTAATTCTAAGGTGATGATTATATAAGTAGGTGAGAGAATGGGTTTCTGAAAGAGAAGTGGCAAAAATATTTTAGTAAAATTATTTATATAAATATATAGTTTCTTAAGGTAGCTTCTCTCAAGAGCAATACTCATTGATACATATACACATATAGTAATTGTCTTCAAAATCATTCACATTAAGTTCTTGGCACATCTCTTAAATCAACAATATATAGAGAGAGAGGTGGATATTTTTACAAATATAAAGAAAATTTATACCATGGACAATTATATGACACCAAATCAAATACATTTGAAACAGTACGCATGATCTCTGATGTAGAGCTACACTGATTTTGTAATACCTTGGTAGAGCCAGGGCTAATAATCAGATGGTCCATGGTGGCAGAAAATTAAACATTTCAATCATCGTTCCTGAATACAGATATCTTTTTCTTTATATATACATATCTATCTGCATGTACAGGAAACTCCCAACTTACATATAGTTTGTGTGTCTTGGATTTTTAACATTTACAACACAATAACACAGTTCTCCAGAAACAAAACCATGTTCTAAATTTAGATTTCTAAGACTATCAAGCCATTATACCTTAGTACATAAGATACTTAATCATCATGTAAAATATTGTTTCTCTGGGGAAACGGTATTTCGATTTTCCAATCAGTAATCCCAGGAACATGCCTTCCTTGATAGGGATAAAGATAATCCAAAAAAATCGGGGCTCGCTCTTGTTCTTCCACAATCACTTACTGTTCTCTGCAAATATTTAAGAGAAAGTGATTTCAAGTCAGTTCTCTTCTTAAAAAGTCCAATGCAAGTTCTCAACCTTGCTGCACCTCAGAATCACATGAGGGTTGTTTAAAAAAAGTACCAGTTCCCAGACCTCAGCCTGGACCAATTAAATGAAAGTCTCCAATGATTAAGGCTTTGATGTTGACAGTGTTCACAAGATTGTAGATGATTCCAAAGTGCAGGGTTGAGAGCCATAGACCAACTTCTTCCCTACTATGATTGTTTTGCAAGTTCCAGCCCTGGGCTCACAAACTAAACAGACATACCAATAAGAAATGCACTCTTCTTTAACAATGTTTCAAAGTATAAAAACAGGTAGGAGTAATCTGAATCAGACCAGAAAGATGATTTACTTTAATACTTTATCAGATCTGCAATGGAGTAACCCTAGATTTTTCTCCTAGTACTTTGTTTTCAGAAAATGGGTAAATAGAACCAAAAAAAGGCTGTGGTTTCTCCTTATCTCAAAGAGAAGAACTTCCAGACATAGGAAGGCAGGTGGGAAATTACATGGCTATAATCACCCCTGCTCTGGCTAGAAGAAAATGAAGACAGAGGTAGCTACAAAGCACATGAAACTGCTATTTAACAAAATGGATATTGCTTGGAGCAGAACATGAAGAAGAATGAAGAATTATCATACTCTGGGAAACTTCCATGAGCAAGATGTCAAGAGTAAGACAGAAAGAAATGCAGAGAAAAATATACTATTGCACTTCAAAATCCAATAGGGGAAGGAAGGGAAGATTTGAGGAGGAATCCTCTCCACATTGGAGAGTTTGAGGCAAAGGAAGAAATAGTGTGGCTTTTTTTTCTTTCTTTTTTTTCTTTTTTTAATAAACATCCTCCAAGTTTGTATTCCCAGGGTAGCCCTGATGAACACTATGTCCAAAAGCAATGGATCCTGGTAATTTAGGGTAGGTCTGTATTTTTTTCTGTCAGTCATTTCACTCCTTGATCATCAAAGAAGCAAGAGCCCCAAATCAGAGAACCTGTGGCTGTTTTTACCCACAAAAGAGAATTTGTTTATATAGTAAACCTTCTGGGAATTCAGGATGGAGTCTGCTGCTGCACACTGTTGAGGAAAGACGTGGCCTCAACTCCTCCTGTGGAGATCTGGTAGTCTATTCCTAGGAATCAATTCAACTCTCCCTATTATCTTTTCATATGGTCAAAGAACTACTAACTAGTTTTAATTTTCTTCTCTTCCAATAATAGTAAGGCTTCTTCATTGAATAAGAAGAAAGAAAAAGCAAAAGAGTACATTAATTACAAAGGCAATCCTTGGGGCTTATCCATTGCAGGAGGGACAAAAGCAGAAGGCACCAGTTCTCTCTGTGGTTTGCCTTATCTCCCCTTATGATGGACAAATGTCCTTTTTACTAAATATAGATGTTCATAAAAGCCAGTTGGCAGAACTCAATTTACCACATACATACACACACCCACACACACACATGTGCACGCACACACACAGATATGTGGATACGTGGGTAGATATAAAATCACATCACAAATCACTTTCCACTAATACTATACCACAAATGTCAAGAGAACCAAATGTTTTACTCTTTGAGCTGTGATAAAAATGATTTTTATGTTTTCCAAAGTTGGGGAAAGACTAGAACCAAGATACTTTGATACTTCATTATAAAACACATGATGATCACCCCGGATTGAGTTAGTTTGTGAGTGTGGCAGCAGCCACAACTGGAAGAGACATTTCACAAGAAAAGCTTCTTCTTGAGATTTTTATAATATTCTTAAAGATGCATATTAAATTATTTCTTCTGGAACACAGACACAATCGAACTTAAAAAATAAAAGCCCTATAAATACTGCCAACCCCACCTTCCTCTGTATCTCCCTTCTTGCAAAAAATGGAACCTTTCCAACCAAGCACTTAAACATAAATATTAAAATAATAAATGGGACGAACTACAAATCTACTTACAATTTCATCACTACTGTAGCACCTTTTTGCTAGGGCCAATGCATTCATTTCATAAAGAACAAGAGAAATCTGAAAAGCTTAAGGACTCATATGGCACATCATTAAATATTTAATCACCTTTTTAAGTCCTAAGCCTTTATCGTATTTCAACAATCTAGAGAGTTCGTTCTATACTATAAATTCCAAGACCCCCTCAGGAGGGGGAAAAGAAAAAAAAACAGGGAGAGAAAACCCTCAGAGAGGCAGGGTTAAATTATCTCAAAGATGACTTTCTATTGGCGCTGTAGTGAACTTGCTTCACCCTGTAAACCCACCATTCCACAGTATGGTCAGTCCATTGCTTTTTAGTCTCCAAGAATCAGTTTTACAAAAGATGCCACATCTGTCGCTTTGGATTCATGTAGGGTGAAAAATGGATGTTGCTGGGAAAGAAAAGAAAAATACATGGCATTAATATTTGTCACCGATAATATCTGAGATTCCCAAATTAATACATTCATTTAAAAATGAATTAATATCTCCATCAGCAGTAAGCTGGATTCCTCTGAACCTTCCAAAATATGCACACAGCTAGTCATGCAAATATTTAAAGATTATCTCTTTGTTGCCACTCTTCCTTCCCACTTTGAAAACTCTAGATCTTTACTACAAAGAATCTACTGCTTTAAAAAAAAAAAAGGTAAATATGTTGTGTAAATCCTATCTGCCGTAAAATACAAATGGTAAAGACCATACAAAGCTTTGACGCACTCTACAAAGCATTTTAGATTGTTATAGGAGTAAAATAATTAGAAATTCATTAGACTGAGGTAATTTCATTTCTCAAGAAGAGTGGGGTAGAATAAGATACCAACTTTGTTGAACAGTAAATGTGCAAGGAAGGCATCCTTGCCCTTGACATTGGATAGCTAGTTTGGAATGAAACATTTAAAGCCATTTTCTAAGTCACAGCCACAGTTATGTTTGTCTTGATGAAGAGTTGATCCATCTGGAAAATAGTGTCAACTGCCAAAATATAGGCATTTGCAGAAAAAGTTCAACTCCGAGATTAAAGATTGAAAAAGAAAAAAATAGTCTTTATATGCATGCAGCTCTGGTGAAACAAAGTACAAAAAGGAAATAAGAGTCTTGCACTTTGCTTGGGGGAAAAGCAAGGTACGATGCAAGAGACCACATATTTCAAAACAATACAGAAGAATACTGAAGCCACATTCTCTGCACCAAAGCAGTCTTTCTAAATCACTCAACTGTGTTATAATAAGCATCAAGCTGTTACCTTGGAACCTTCCACCCTTAATTAGAAAGTGATATATCAAATCAAGATCCACATGTCTCATAGCGAAGCCAGAACCAACCAAATTATCCACAAATAGATAATTCATTCAAGGAGACCTGAAGTCACCTCACCTACCACACTGGTGTTCCCGATTGTCTGGTGGCATTATTTTCAGTGGCTATTTGAGCAGCTAAATGTGGGCATCTTTACATGCAGACATGTAAATGACTCACTCTGTTTCCTGGACTTAAGGGATTTAGTATACAAGCCCATGTTGCCTTGCTGTAGGTTTTCTAATTATATTTGTTTTAAATCTGACAGTAGAGGGCTGGGTAAGTCAGCTCTGGGGACACGAATGACCACCTGTGGAAGTTTTAAGAATACAATGGGGATGGAACAAAGAAACAAAACTTAAAAGAAAGGAGGTGGTCACTGTTAAGGAACATGACTCAGGAAGCAGAAAGGAAGGTTTCTGCTTTTCCCATCTGAGGATACAGGTTGGGTGCTGCCCCAGAGCCTTTCACTCAGGACTTTAACTGGATTTCTAGAAGCATAGTCTCTCGTCTGAGCTCTTTCAACTACCAAGTAACAACAGTACTTTGGATTACTGATCACTTACATAGCACACTTACAAAGTGTTTTACCATCATGGTTATTAAGCTTTCCCACATCCTCTTGGCATTTGGAGATCTTTCAATGTACTTAAAAGCTTTTTACTATCAAAACAGGACACACCAAACCTCAGATTGTCTTCATGGCTGCTTCCCATGCCTGTCGGCCCCATCTTGCCTCTTGTTCTGCTGCTATTTGCTCAGTGGATGTACTCTGACTTTACAAGTGAATTAAATAACTTGAAGTAAAGTTTTCAATTAAAAAAATCTTGAGGTATCTCTTAGTTTATTCCCAGGCTGGGAATATCCTATGAGAGCCAGAAAGCAGGGGAAGGAAAAAGCAGGTAGGCATGTCACAACTGAAAGTGTGATGTACCTTTTCCTGTGGGTTTTGAGGCTCCAAAAAGCTGGGAGGGAACCCCACCCCTTCTACAAGCTATGGACTAAGAACAGCAAGGACGGCAACCTGGAGGTAAGCAAATGAGGTGCCTTGAATAATCTCCAGCCCAGAGTTCCAGGCTCCCAAAAGAGGAGTCAGGGACAAGAAAGTAGAACACTGCACCATTTATGTTCACTGTTGGGCCTGAAGGAAATGTAGAGCTGCACGGGCAGCTGCCAGAAGAGAGGACAAGCCACAGTCACTATCAGGTCTCCACAGCCCACGTACAACACCTCATCCCTCGAGACTGCCATTTGCTGTAGGTTTAGGCACCCTTGTTTCATACTTCAATTCAGTCTGGAACTTCCTACGATCTTTGCAGAACATTATCACCTTACCTGGCAATCATTTGAATGAACTGGTTTATCATTTTTGGTGGTTGGCATGTAGAATAGAGGTCAGCAAACGTGGTCACAGACCACATCTGGCCACTGCCTGATACTTCAATAGATTTTTATTGGAACATAGCCACACCCCCTTCTTTTCTTTGACATATTGAATATAGCGGCTTTCCTACACTACAACAGCAGACTTCAGTAGCTGTAACCACAACTGCATGGCCACAAAGCCTAAAATACTATCTAGACCTTAAAAAAAAAAGTTGGCTAATACCTATTCCAGAAGAACAAATCCTACAGAATGATTCTTCCCAGGAGAAGTTTGAGAGAATAACCAAATAAGACCATCATAAAGCATGTATATCCCTCAATCCAAGGGAGAAAAAAAAAACTACCTGGGATTTCTAGGAGAGGTACAAGATGGAGCCTTAATTATTCTGTACTTCATCTGGAAAAATGATTGTTTTCTTCCCTACCTCTTTGTAAACTTCTAAAATCTAAACAATAGCTTCTTGGTGCATTATTTCTCAATGCTGAAGTCAGGGAGTTTGGGCTCAGATTTTCCATTTAAAAACCTCAATTCTCAGAAAAGCAGGGAATAGTTAGGGTCTTAAAAGGCAAGCCCATTTCCAGTACCACAAAGACTAATCCCATAAGGAGAAGGCAGGGAAATCCCCCAAGACCTTACAACATTAATATGTATGCCAAAGAAAATCACAGTGCTAGAATATAATGGAAAGGTAGAATTCAACATCAGTCTCCAATGCATAATCTGCATTTCTTTTCCTTAAGTATGTTACAATGAAATTTATGATAAGGTCCCTTGAAAGAAAAAAAAAATGTTTTGCATTTTAAACAGCCAGAAAATGTTCTTTTCTCTGAAATTAGTTACAAAACAAGGAGACTTTAAAATACAGTTGCTGACTCCCTAGGATCCTACTGGAATCTCTCTATGTCTATTGCACTTTCTGCAAAATTAATTTCAAAATGCTCTAGGTCAGTGGCAGTGAACCTTTGGCACGTGTGCCACAGCAGGCTGTTTGTATCATTGAAAGCTCTAAAAGGTTCGCCATCATTGTCCTAGGGGTTGCAGAAGCCTACCAACAAAGGGAAGTCAAAACTGAAAAAGCCTCGGACTGGCTATTTTTTAAAAAATAATCAAGAGGAAATATTCAATCTAAGCATGTAGAACATGAAGATATTCTCAGGCATTATTCATTTGCTTTTCTCCCTTAACTGTGGGTCTTAGGTGAATAAAGTTGTTGAGGGCTGAGCACTGGGCACTGCTTTTGTAAAGGCAACAATGGTGGCCCAGGGAGATGGCCTTCATTCAAATTCACCCAACTGGAGAGTGGTCCAGACTTCAACCAAAGCTTGCCCAGAGGACCTGAAAAAGCCACATAACTTGTTGCAAGGATTGCATACACATGTGTCTGACAGTGTTCTGTGACCTATCCTGACTTGACCTTTCCAAGCGAGGCTCTCCTGTGTCTCAACCACCTCACCACACACTTTGTTACTAGACAGCAGCAACCTGCACTTTAAAAACGCGTCCTGAGCTGTTCATAAAGACAGCACAGCTCATGGGTTGGATGGAAGTAAACATTTCATGCCTGTAACTTAACTGTGCTCCAGTAACAGTGGCAGCAGTAGCAACAACAGCAACAAGGTATTAATGTTTGATCTTCTCCTTTTTGAGATTGCATATGAATGTAACTTTCCTTCCGCCACTGAAAATAAGACTTTGATCACTGAAACAAATCTAGGGAGGGATTAACACAAATTCGTAGACTGAATTTTATAATATCCCCACCACCACCAAAATGTATTTATCCTACATTCAACAAATAGTTTGACAGAGCAAACCACGGTCGATTTTAGGTCCTTTCCATCTGCAGCAGAAATATCATTTGTAATTAGCTTAGAATGCTAGTTATCACAATTAGAAAGACTATTTAAAAACAAGGCTTCTATGGGCCAGGGATTTAGCTCAGTGGTTCTGGTGCCTGTCTCACAAGCGCAAGGTCCCAAATTCGATCCCCAGTACCAAAAAAAAACCAAAACACTTCTGTTGCTTTCATTCCTGTTTTCCCTGATAGAGCAAATGGTAAACTGTGAATACTGAGGTCACAGATTCAAACTAATAATGCTTTCTGTTACTTTTTGGTTCCATCAAAGTGAAACCCAAAAGGAGAAAAGAAAGCATTCTTTCTTTCCTTGACACCCACCAAGAAGACATCCGTCTAATTAATTAATCCCAGGCATTTTATCTAAAAGTAATAAGTCACAGAGCATTTAAGTTTCTCTCATTACTGAAATCTCTTAAATCAGACTTTCTTTAATATTATATTAGTAAATTGTGAGTCCCAGTACCTTTGAAATTTGAAACTATAAAATTTACAGACATAAGTTGGTCTATATTGCAATAGATTTATCAGCTTGGAGAAAACTTCTTAGATTACTTCAACAGAATGTATGATGACAGAAACTCTCTTAACTCTTTTTTTTGAGTCCAATTCCTGTCACTTATGTCTCAATGAACCATTTCTGCCAATATGGTCATTTCATCATAATAAATGTCCTAGTTACTTTACTAGTCTTCAGCATGCACATGTTAACACTGACAATACTCACCATAAGCTCTGGATATGTAGGCCGTTCTTTGGAATTCTTCTTCAAGCTTAAAGGGAAAAAATAAATCAAATTAAATCTAGAAACTACTTTTCACTAAACTAGGATTTCAATACCTATCTATAAAAGAATGACCATAACCAGCTTTTAAAACAACGATTGAAAACATAGGCCTCCTGTCTTTACCTTCTTTTTCTGTTATACTTTAAAATTATGTTTTAAATTATTCTGGGTATAACTCAATAAAAAAAAATGTGTGTGTGTTGTCTACTATCCTTTGATACTTTACCAAACTATCTTTTCTGATCTACAGCCACTATATTTTCAAACATATATCTACTTTCTTTCAAGACAGCTAGTAATCCCACCTCCACCAGCAAAGAAATTTGCAAGTGTTTTTCATAATACATTTATTATCTCTTCACTGTATTCAACTACTTGGTTCTCCTTGCTTCTAGTTCTCTTGAATGTATAATTTACTTTTATATATTCCTAACCAAACCTGCCTGAGATAGAAGCAATAATCGCATGAAGTCTCTAAGGTACGCTATTTGTTTACTACATTTTAGTGATAAAAGAGAAAGCACGCTCAGTCAGCAACTGAGGAATTACTCTTCCTAGAAATGCTTTGTGGTCATGCCCTACTGTCAGGTGGACTCTGGTCATTTAGCTCTGTGTTTACATATATGTTGGATAACATTTGATACCAGAGGAAATAGTAAAACAAATCACAAGGTAAAGAGACCAAACCCTAACCCTGTTGTCAACCTACCCCATCCTCCATCCATCCCAGCCTTAAAATGGAAAAAAAAAGAAAGAAAGAGTTTATTTGGAGTTGGAATCACAGATTATATAATGGAGAAAGAGATGATTTTTTTTTTAACTATGATTTCAAAGGCAACATACAGTCCCCAGTACCCACTAGGCCAAAAATTATACATGAATAGAAAGGAATTTTGCCTGGAGTTGAAGGAACCAAAATGTGACTGATAATTAGGTTGCTAAGATTTATGCTAATGGGTCATTTTGAGTAAATGAGACCTACTATGTGTGACATGAAATCTGCTCCCCCTATAGAAGCTGATCATAACAAGGGGAGCAAAGTATGGAGCCGTAAGAGAGAGAAGTCATTGAGATACTTTGAGAAACTGTGGTTTAAAACAAAACGAAATGGAGAAAAGGAAGATTCTGAACCAAAACAACTTAAAAGCGGCCTACCAGTTTATTCCAGGTAATGCTGTGGGTAGAAGCCAGGGAACCTGAGACAGGGTAACAGATGTAAGGACAGAAGACTCAACCTGGAATTGAGGACAGACCTAGGACCTAGGGACCTCAGTGACCAGACAACCTATGAGAGAAAGTTTCATCTCAACTGAGGATAAAAATAAGAGTGCATTAGATAGAGGAATGAGTCAAAGTCAGGTTGATATGGGAATGTGTGCCTGAGTGAAATGAATGAGACCTTGCAATTCCCACATATGGCTCTGCCTGTACCTGGATCCTGGTGCTCAGTTGAAGGTAATTTTCCCCCCAGGGGACACTGGGCAATAGCTAGAGGCATTTTGGGTTGTATGACTAGTGACAGGTGTTACTGGCATCCAAGATGTTCTGGTAGAGGCCAGAGATTTTGCTAAGCATCCGCTTAGGCATAAGGTGGTCCTCTCCGGCAAAAACACAATTCAATCCAAAATGTCATTAGTGCAGAGCTCCTGGAACCCTGGAACGTGTGTCCTAGGGCGGCCTTGTTGCCACCTCCTGTCTCCTTCTCTGAGATGGGACTTACTTAAAAGAAAACCTGCTTCATCTGTTGCTTGGGCACATTCTCATCACTACTATCTCCTCCCTCCTACCTCCTCTCTACCTCTATCCCTAGAATCAAGAGTTTGCCTAAGTCCAGGAGCTAGTTCACCTAGAAGGAAACAGAGGAAAACATGTGATTCTTGAGCATGACTGATTTGCACATCGATCCTGGTGTAAATAAATGCACAAGTAATATGCAAAGGCCCCAAATTTCCACCTACTACTGAACTTATATCAAAACCCAGAAATTCTTCTTTATAGTTTGAACAAACTAACTTGCTAAAACAGTAACGAGGAGCATAAATACAACATTAAATCCACACTCAATATTCAAGGGGCTGATTTTGGGTGCTTGAATCTAGACTAACTCTCACTGAATCTGAAATATGCTCTTTGTGCACCTCAGCAAACTTCTCCATCGACATCAAAACAGAGGGAATGATTAGCCCAGCAAAGAAAAAGCTTATCTTCAGTGTTAAAATGATGGCCGTTTGTACTAACCAGGGATCTTTGCGACGCTGATGATGTTTTACTTTGTATTCAGTACATAACAAAATGCCTCTTCCCAATAGGCTGAAGGGATTGAAGCCTTCCATTTCTAAGTAGAAGTGATTTTCCCTGCAGGTTGTCTTATCTTTCACTTCCAGAACAGTTTTCCAAAACTTTTTTCCAGAATTTTTTTTCTTTTAAATCTGTATTTTAAAAATGAGGCAAAAATACCCACATTGATCCCTAATAAAATGTTTAAGATTCTGGAAACTTCAGAGACTGCTAGCAAATAGGTTACTTCTTGACTTATGGCCTCTCCTGAGAAAGCTCAAAGTTCACCCCAAGCTCTACGGAGTATTGATGAAAAATATTTACACAGCAAAGCAAGGCTGTTTATTGAATTAATATAACTGATATAACCATTGCCCCCATCTTTTAAATGAAGAACACTTCAAAGCATGTGCTGACAGTAAGTACCAAAATACCCAGGATAAGGTTGGAGGGGAAAAAAAAAAAGCAACTTTTCCATGTTTAATAGGAAGTGCCTGAAATTCAGTACGAAATAACAACTGCAAAGTTCAAAGCAACACCCATTTCTTTTGGGATTGAAGTCAAGCTTTTGAATTTTCAAGTGGCTTGTCATTTTCAAGTGTGCAATTAGCTAACTGCCCTAATTCTTCTTCCAAGTGCCACAACACACACTTCTGACCGTAGCTGACACTAAAAAACAGCTCCATGCTATCTTGAGAATTGCTAGCTTCCAGTTTGTGCTCACCAGAGGATTTCTGCCTGTTTGAATTCCCCTGATGGTTTCCAAGAAGGGCTGTTTGTTGCATCCACAGAATAAAAACACATTGGGCCTCTCAAGCTATACATTTGTCAAAAGCTAAATAAATATCCAGTGCCTCTTTTTTACTGTCCTCTGTGAACAAGTAAGAGATTGTATTTGACTGTCACTGTTTTATACTAGTTACTCTGAGTCGCACAGTGTCGACATCTGGACCACCAACATACTCCGCTATGCCAGCAGCTGGTCAGCTGGGCACTCAGACTCTGAATTAGGCCTGGAGGAAAACCAAAAAGGAGTGTGGCTATTTTAGCAGTGAGCAGCTGATTGCCAGTGAGTTCCTTTTGTTAACCTATAGGAAGAAGTATAACCTTGCCACGATTCCATTTTTCTTTTTAATAATCTCATTTGTTAACCCTTCTCAGAACTCAACTATCATTGGGCTTTTCCATTAGACTTTTACCATGATGAAGCTCAAAACAAGCCTCTGTGCTCAATGAGACCCACGTTAGGAATTCTTTAAAATGTCTATGTTAAGAAAATAAATGTGAGAAAAAAGAAGAAAAAATATCTCTCAGTACTCTTATTTGGAAATGAGTACAAAAAGAAAGTGTTTCAAGGAGTCGTTTCTTTTTTCTTCAAGTTCATAGGAACAAACATATGAACTTCCCTTTCTTTTTTCTGATGATGTTTCTCTGATACTAGTGCAAAAGAAATGGAGCAGCAAGAGAAATAGAAGTGTGTGCTCTGAAGCTAACTTTGGCTCTGACGTGATGAGGACATGTGTAAGTGGTTTATATCACGACTGCATGTCACCCAAGAGACATCTGAGCGGCCAGAGGACAGTGAGTACCAAGTGACCCCAGGCTGCAGGCGTGAAGTACTTAAGCAGCACTGTGACACCGCCAGAAGATGTATCCCACCAAGGAGCACAATCGCTCCGGCAGCTTCCCGAGGCTGTGAGGGATGTGCCCTTTCCCCACATTTAGCCTAAGTACAGATTAGGAGATACACACATAGGTGTGCTTACCTTAAAATTTGATATTAAATATTTCACTTTCCAAAACTGTAGTTCCCTTTCCCCACTTAGCACAAAGATCTGGGGCATCGTGATAATTCCTGAAGGATCCCAGCCTATGTCATAAAAGTATAACATAGCAATCACTCAGAAGGGGGCTTTTGATAAAAATGTGTCTCAGCATTATAGTTTTACATGAGGTGTAGTCAAAATAGAAAGTGAAGGTTTAATTTTTTTTATTATGGTTAAAAAAAATATGGCCATTAATTTCCCTCAAAATACTCCCCTACCTGTATCCCATCATTTTTGCCAATTTCTGAAGCAGGTCTGGAAGTCTTCTTTCGTGAAGGTCTATTAGAGGTGTGATAAAAAATATGGTGAATGCTGCTGCCAAGTGTCATCTAAAGGAAAGACAGGCTGATAAAAACATTACATGTGTCCTTATCCACATTACTCACCAGATATGGCACCATACGATTTCTGGCTCTTCCCCAAGGTCAAAACGACCATGAAAGTTGAATGTTTTGAATCAATTCAGTGCTTTGAGGCAGCCATGAAAGCACAAGTAAAGACATGAAAGAGGACTCTAGAACTGCTTCAGAGAATGGCAAGAACAATGGGATGAGTGTATTCGAGGTGAGAGGGAGTATTTGAGGGGGATTCTTTACAATGGGTCTTTTACTGTAATAAATTTTTTAACATTCACCCTATATTTGGATCACATCTCAAAAAGGAAAATGGAAAAATTGCCAATAAAGAGTTATGTTTCATGCCATATCCTATTCTTCATCAATAAACAGGTGTTCTTTGGTAACAATCACTTTTTTATTCTTTCCACTTTACTCCAGACCAAAGTTAAAACTTTCAATAGTAAAACAAGGCCATAACTAGACTGTTACTGAGTAGGGAGATAGGTAGCCATACGTTAATATATATGAAAAATGAAACTGTATCCATAAAAACCCAAATCAGTAATAAGATCTAAAAAAAAGTGCCTATCTTCAACCCAGTTGGCTTCAGAATAATTTACTGCGCATCCTTAGGAGGTAGCAAAGAAAATATTCTGGTGATTTCTGGCAGGCAAAGAAGTTACTGATCTGGGATCTGAAACAAGGGGCTACACTCTCCTCAAGTCCAGCTGAGGTTAAGTAAGGTTGCTCATAAAATTCAAAAGTAATGCTCTCTGCTCTTTCTCAATTCCCAAAGCAACAAAAGTGACTTGCTCTTCTACAAGATTGATGTTCTCAAGGTTGAGATTCTACTAGAGTTATAATACTGAAAGTTTGAAGAAGACAAATATATCCTCTGATGACGTCTAACTTGAAGTCATTTTTGTTTCTATTGTTATTTTTAATAAACCCCTTAAGCATGATAAACAGACTTCCTGAATGCAGGAATGATATTATATTTCTGTGATGAAGTGACAGAATTAACAGGATTGATAGAAGACTACAACTACAGAAACTACAACGTGTCTAGAGCTTAAAACTATTTAAATGAATGAAATTTAAATGAATATTTAAATGAATTTAAATGAATGGTAGCTGGGGCTAAAACTGTGAGAAAATTGGAGATTTTCGAGAGATAGCATGAGGTTACTGTGGGTGTGAAGGCCAGAGGGTAGGCACAGTGTGGTCCCTAGAGAAGGGGCAATACTGCCATTGTCTGGGATTCCCACACGTGTATGCATACGCTAAGGGGAGAAAACATTTATCTCTCAAAGGTTGTTGTTTTTGGGGTGTGTGTGTGTGTATGTGTGTGTGTGTGTGTGTGTGTGTGTGCTGGGTACTGAATTCAGGACCTTGCACATGCCTCTCCGGTGCTCTACCACTGAGGTACCTTTCTAGCCCCAACGTCTTCATTTTTAAAATGTTTGTGAAATGCTTCAATGCTTTCATTCTTTGGCAAAATTCTAAGTAAGAGAAAAAATACATTGGCAAAGGAAAAATAAAGTAATTGAATCATTTTTTTTTTTAACAAACTGCAAAAGATCAGAAGCATTTTGAACAGTTGGCATTAGGTCCACAGAGCTTATGTTTAAACCCATGTTCTCATGAGGTATGTAAAAAAGAGCATAGGAAGTACATTAGGATAACTTGAGAAGATTTGAAACGTCCTGAAATGCTGGCCTCTCCTTGAACCAACTGAACTCCAATCTCTCAGGGTGACAGTGAGACATCTCAGAGGAGACAGAACATTGCCACCTTGCTAGAAATTTATGAATGAGCAGCCAGAGTTGAGAATCACTGGATTTGGATTCAACCAGTGATTTACAATCAGAAACTCAGCTTTCTCAAACTTTTTACACTATGCTCATTGTTACCAAAGTTTCTTGAAGTACCCAGAATCCTAGGGAGAGGAGGACAAGTGGGAGAAGGATGAAAGGAGGGGAGAAGACAGTTTGTAGAGACCCCCCTTAGTGAGGTCCTTCCCCATTACCACCCTCCTGAGGTCTGTGGGTCTGAAGAATGCAAGATGACTCACCCCTTTCCCTATGTGATGTTTAAACATTTGAGTATAAAGCAAAAAGGGTAAAACTAAACAACCACCAAATCCAAGAGCTTGAATCCAGAAGCCAAATCAGATCCATGAACCCATTTCAACACAGCAGATGTCACACCACATTCACATACTCACTGGAGGAAAACAGACAGGGGACACAACTCAGGATCCCAGCAGATGTATACTTTACAGACACTTGACCACACTGCAGTAAAGCTTATTGCCACAGCTCCTCTCTGGCCAATCAGTCAAAACTAAAATAAACAAACAGCAACAAATGGAACAACAACTATGGGACAGCATCATAAATCACTAGGATTTATGACCAGGGTTGAGAATGGACCCAGGACCAATAAAAAGTCCAAGAGACCTTAGTTTCATAAACAACAGAGAGCTGCTTTGTCTCATCATGTGGCCAACCCAAGCTGTGTTCAGAAAACTTCTGCAAAAAGTGGATGGAAGCCAAAGAATGATGCCATGAGGAAGGTGTGCCATCAACTGCCTTGCATCCCAAGAAGCCTTCAGAGCCCCAGAACCTTCTGAAGTAGTGAATGGTCAGAGTTGCTCCTCTCCGAGCCCACAGCTGGAGTTCCCACCAGCTCTGACTCCCTCCTTCCTCCCAGTTATCATTTAGTCTTGCAGAATGCCCAGATAAACTCAGTCCCATTTTGTGCTTCACACTTGGCATCCTCTTCCCACCAGCACTTGCAGTAGTCATTACTACCAAGATATGGTAAGCCTCATGGCCCAGTGCAGGCAGATTTTCTTGACTGTCAGGAGAACACTATCCCCTCTCTCACTTTCCTTGAGGACCTTGACAATTCTATGACAACAAAGTTAACCACCTTACTATGGCTCCGATCCACTTTCTACTCCACATGATTTAGGTTCTCTTCCCAGACCCCCAACACTGTCTACTATGCCCTCATGAGCAAGTATATCTACAGTTAGCGAGTGTTCTATACAAGCCAAGGTTCTGCAAGACTTCTGGTACCTAAGTAGTATTCTTGAACTTCACACTGTCTTCTCACCCAGAGTAATTCTTTATGTCTATTCCCCATCCCTAGGTTTTCAACAGACCTTGCCACATTTCTCTTTATGCTCCCACCAATATCAAATTGCTTACAACTCTCATAGAAGAGTTTCTTGTTTTTGTGACACTCTGACTTATATTCCTCCTGTTTGGAATAGCTTTCCTCTCCTATTTCCCTTTTGCTTGGAAGACAACTCACATGATCTCAGCTCAGAATTTATTTTCTTCAGAGAAATCTATCTTGATGCCTTTTCTCTGAGTTTCACAGATACCCAACATGTATCTCCACCCCTGGATGTTCCATATTGTATTACTGTACTATAATAACTGATAAATGAAAACCCTTCCTCGACTTGGAGCTCGGTGATGGTGACACAGCCACCATGTTCTCTATCATAGAGGGTATACTCCATAAACGCTCTCGGAATGAATGAATGTATGCATAATGGATCCAACCCAATGGAGGGAACTCGTGAGTGCATCCCCTTCCTTAGCACTTGTGCATGGGAGATGGGGCTGTCTTACCACTGTGAGGTAAAGTCAACAAACTCTGTGGAGAACTTGTCTGCTGGAAGTTGCGGGGATGGCTCCTCTACCACCTGTTTGAGCTGCTGAAAGGGAGTTCCCCACGAATCATAGGGAAACCGGAGGATGGCCAGCTCAATCTGGAAGTGAGAGACAAGGAAGCATCAGTTTAAACAAGGCTGCCTTCAAGAGTCAGCCGTGTTTCATTCCAGAAGAACCAGAGGGAAAAACAAAGTTGAAGTCTAAGGATTATCTGAGGACAAAAAATAACAAATAACCTGTTCTCTAGAAATTTTCCCCAAACTGCTAGTGCTACGGGCTTTTAAATATTATCTTCTTAGAGACAGCCTTTTAAACCTATCTAAAACTCATTCCCTCACTAAAACCCACCACACTCCTTCATAAAACTCCTTCATAAAAATTTTAAGCCAACAGTATTTATCTTCATTGAGGATGTACAGCAACCCGGTTTTAAAAGATTTGGTCTGAGAAGGAATTCATAACCAGTCTCTTGCAGAACTGTGCCTCTGCTGCCACCTGCAGGTCACTTGTTGAAATGGAAAATTGGGAGGAAAAGTAGCCTGGGACCAGAAGAGTCTTTTTTGGACTTGAATAAAGGTTACTTTGCTGTTACAGGCTCATGTAATTTTTGGGAAGGGACATGAAATAACTCCCAGGATTTAATCATCCACTGTGCCGGAGAAAAAGATAGGGCTACAGCAGAAAATTCCAGATCTTAGTTGTACACTGAAAATTTATGATCATCAAAGTTCGAATCACTGATCTTATACCTGTGGATGTTGTGCCTAAGGAAAGCATCCTATTTGTTATCATGTCATTAGAATATACTTGGTCTCACCATCCAAGACTTCTACAATAAAATCATCCTGGGAGGCATACCACATATTCTGGACAAAATTACCTGTCATCTCAGGTAGGAAAAGATGCCCAAGACTAGCATTTAGGACATTTGCTTCTTGGTCCTAAAGCCCACCCCATTCCAGCTGCACGCTCAAACCCCATAGCCCATAGGATTATCACACGCTACCATGGTGATGCCCAGACTCCAAATGTCAGACTTCACACTGTATCCCTTCTGGTTGAGCTCTGGGTTTATTCTTTCAGGCTGGAAAAGAGACAGACAACTGAGCTGAGACACTGGAAGCACAATTGAGATGACATCTGTAGCTCAAAAAAGACTGGGAGTGGGGACATTACCAGCTGCCAAGTGAGATGTTTTAGGCTGTTAACATGCCTCCCAGACCAAGACCCTGTAACTACAATAAATAGCAATGTCTCCATGGGGTTTTCTGTCTTCTATGTTCATCTTTTCTTAGAGAAAGGCTTATATTCCCTTCACAACAAATTTTACTTTTATTGTGAAGAAGAAAGAGTATACACATTATAAAGCTACTCTACCCATCTAAAATTATCCTTGATAAAAACACCAACAGTCCAAGCTCAGTAAAAAGAATCCAAAAGGTGGTTACTAGGCTACCATCTGGTATTCCTAGACCTAAGCAACTCTGAGCTAAATATAGATAGGAAGCTTTTCCTTTCCAAACAGAACTCCATTTCCAAACAGAATATGGTACAAGTTCCATGTACCCAAGGTCTCTGCTAATGACAATGAATCTTCAGAGCTGTGAGGTTCACTCAAGACTAACTCAACTATCTGCGCAGGTAATTTAAATTCTGTTTACTTATTCTCCCTCAACTCACAAGGTAACACTCACTTGCAACTTGGTGTAGAAAACTGTGCGGGCTTCACATATTACTCTTATGTATTTTCAAACAAAATACCCCTTTTGCTTGATTTTTTAAAAATACATATGCTATGTATTACATTTTCATCCCCCCAAATCCATATATGAAATCTAATCTCTATGTGCCCATAAGAGGTGGAGCTTTTATCCAGTGATTAGTCATCATAGTAGAGCCCTTTCGAATGGGGTTACTGACCTTATAAAAGATATCCTAGAGATTCCCCCACCCCTCCCACCACGTGAGACACAGCAAAAATATACCACTGAAGAACTAGAAAAATGAGCCCTCACCAACCAGACACTGAATCTGCCAGTGCTTGATCTTGGTGTCCCCAACCTCCAAAACTCAAAAAAACAAATTTCTGTTATTTATAAGCTTCCTAAGTAATGGTATTTTGTTACAGCAACCCAAAGAACAAAGAAAGTGTATGAAACAAGTGACTAAGGATCTCATACGGGAAATATTTAAGAATATAAAGTGCTAAAGAATGTTTTCTTAAATCCTAGGCACATTCCGATTTTCTGTCTGCATCTATCTATTTCTTACATCCTGGCCTGGCTTTTTGGCAGTTGCATTTTGAGATGCCACCCCTGGCTGCTGTACTCACGGCCATGTATGGTTTGCAACCTGCATCAATTGTTTTAGCAACAGAATCCACCAGGTAGCCACTGATTCCAAAGTCACACATCTTCACTTGACCCAGGGTATTAATCAGCACATTTGAAGGCTTGACGTCTGAAAACAAGCAAAACCGGGATCCTGTCATTCCAGCCTGCTTTGAAGATTCATTTCTCTACCACCAGAGGGCCTGAAATCTCCACTTGTCCTTCACCTTCCTTTCCCCAAGTTGCTCTACACCAAGTAACCACACTCCTTGACTTCCAGTTACCTACTGCCTACTGCTTCTTGTTTTGTTTTTGTTTTTTTGGTACCGGGGATCAACCTCAGGTCCTTGCGCTTGCAAGGCAGGCAGCGGAACCACGGAGCTAAATCCCTGGCCCTGCCTACTGCTTCTATATGCAGAAAAGCTGCATTTTTCTTCCTCATATTTTGTCTGTGTCACGTGCGATTGTGATTCCTTAAATGAAGAGCACTGTCTCCTCCATTTATGTGATCATCTTCATTGCTCCCATATATAGAGTAACAACTTTACTGAGTCAAATGCCCAGCTCAAAATAATCTATTGCTTATTTAATATGGAAGTAAGAGACTGAAGAATCAAAGGGTATTGCAGCACAGTGATACATCAAATATGGTCAAAGGAGCAGGCTTTGATAGCAACCCCTACCAGAGATGTATCAGAGGTTACCGCAGTGTAATGTATTATAAATCCAGAGATAGCCAGGCCACAGGGCAGGGCAGGGGAGAAGGGGTATTAATGAACAGATTTTAGATCACCCCTGAAAACTAAAAAGATAGCACCCACCTACCCACATGCTCGAAAAGATAAGCCACTATCATCTCTGGACAATGGATTTAACAAATACACGTCATTTTTTCCCTTTGTGACACTTTCATCAAAGACGGAAGGTAAGAAGAAAAAAGCTGAATCTAAGAGCTTTACAAATTACTCTTTACAATTTTACTTTTAAGCTTGATATACGAATTTTATTTTGCCAGTTTTTATACATAACATATACACAGCATATTCTCCATGAATAATTCCATATTCTTTTTCCTACTTAGATTCCTTCCCACTTTCCTGTCCTCATCTTCCACCCATCTATTCTTTCAATTTTTAATACTACCAATTAAATATTAATAATAATAGGCATACTGTGCAAGGCATTTTATACTATACCCAGGCACACAAAATTTAAGAATTACCCAAATCATAACGACCAATTAGTAATCAACATTTTGCATTAGTTACCTTGAAGACTTGACTAATTTATTTCATCCAAGAAGCTGTTCCTGGCAATGGTCTTCCAGTAATAATCAATTCTTTATTTTGCATTCTACCTATACTATTTCCATATTTGGTGCTTTCCGATTTCTAAGGTCTTCTCATAGTTTTTATATATTTCTCTTATTTCCCTATCAAGAATCCCTACAAAAAATTATAATAAGAACAATTTTCTCAGATAACCTCTCAGGACATCTATTATAATGCTGTATTCAAAATGCCTTATAAGTGATTATAAGAGATAAATGGGTGATGGATGAATGGATGAACATGAAGGAGGGTGAGTGGATGGGTGAAGAAATATTAGGCCAAAAATAAAGACGGGAAGGAGGCAGGAAGGAAAAGGCAAATTATTCTCTCCTGCTTCCTCAGTATGAAAGGGTTCTGCTGCATTCTAAAGCTCTCCACACTTCCCTGTGCACAAGGATCACCTGGGGACCTTGTTAAAATGTGGGTCTTGATTTGTCTGATGATTATGCTCTTCTAACAAGCTACTGCATGATGGCCAATACAAGATGCATTTTTATCATTTCCTCTAAAACTATTGATAATAGCATCCCACAGCTGTGTTTGGTAACAGGTATTCCATATTGAATTTAGGTATCATATTAAGCCCATGTCTTCTTATGCCCTCAGCCAAGATAAACAATAGCTACTACTCTAATTTGGACCCTTCTTCATATGTGTGTGTGTGTATGTGTGTGTGTGTGTGTGTGTGTGTGTGTGTGTTACTAGAAATAGAACGCCGGCCACAGAGCTACATCCCAGCCATAGTTTGAGGGTTTGTTTTTGTGAGACAGGATCTTACTAAGTCACTATGTTGCTCAGATCAGGCTTAGAGTTATGATGCTCCTGCCTCAGCTTCCCAGAGTGCTGGAATTACAGATGTACACCATCACGCCTGGCCAGCTTAGATCTTAAGTGTACCACAAAGGCAGCTTGGCATTACTGGGATATGATGGAAACATTAAGAAGTGGGGCCAAGTTGGAGGTATTAGGTCATGGAAGCCATGCCCTTCAAGGGGATCCTGGTCTCTTCCTCTCTCTTTCATCCCCCTGCTATTAGAAGAATGAGCTTCCTCTGCCATGTGCTCCTGCCATGATATACTGTATTGCCACAAGCCCAAAAGCAACAAGGCCAATGGACCCGGGACTGACACTACCAAAACTGTGAGCCAAAAAAGCCTTTCCTCTTTATAAGTTGATTATCTCAGGTATTTTATTACAGTAACGGAATGCTAACACAACTACTTACATGGTTTGCTATGCAATCTCAAAGGAAAGCCCTTGATTTCTCTTGCCTGGCTCATTTCCACTTCCATCTATGCAGGGGAGGGGAAGTGGGAGAGGGAGTCTCCTGGCCAAAGAAATTAACTTATAAAAAGCCACAGCCATGGATGCTTACCCCGATGAATGACAGAGAGCTTACTGTGTAAATGTTCTAATGCTTTGACAATCTGTAAGAGAAAAACAAAGTAGATTTATTCACTCCATCACTGAAAAGAAATTGAATGTTAAGTATATTCAGGTTTATTATCCATAGTTTAAGGTCACAGGGTAAGGTATTTTCTGAGTCAAGATTCCTATGCAGGAAAATAACACAGGAAGTTACCTAAACTGATCTCTACCCACCAGAGAGGAGTATATCTTAGAGCAGAAACAATGTCCTATTCATCTATCTTGTTTCTTTTTTACCTCAAGCATTTTTTTTCTCTTCACCCTCCTGAACCTCAGTAGGCATTAAGGTAGCAGACTTTCTTATGTTCTTTTTCCTGATTACTTTTGTTTTTAGTCTTAAGAAATCATTTGAAAAATCTACAAATCAAAACTGAAATGCAGTATAGACATCAGAATACAGACACTGGGAATGCAGTCATTGCAGATGAATGAACTGCTTAAATTCATTTAATGTAGAGTCTACCAAACCAAATCAGTGGAAGCATCCTCCACACAAGCCTTAGGAGAAAATGGTACTTATTTATCCACTGCAAAATGTACTCATGCATTCAGCAGACATATGCTACATGGTAGATATGGTGCAAGGAACATTTCCTCCTACTGGGGATATAAAGACACCTACAGCAAGAATTCACACATTTTCCTTGTAGATAGGTGATATACTCACAGAAACTGCTATCTTCCCTAAGATATCCTCTGGAATTGTTTGGCCTTTATCAATAACTTGTTTGTAGAATTTATCTAGTGACGTATCCATGAGCTCCATGCAGATCCACACATCTCCCTGGAGACCAATCAATTCAAGGATCATTAACAAGGATGGAAAAGGGAGAAGGAAAAAATGTTTACCTGTCCTGAAGAACTGACTCTTGAGTTTTGCAAGGAAATATATAGCTTTCCTTTGAGATCTCAAAGGAATTTATCAATGAGCAAGATTTCTCCAAAGAGCAAGCCAACAGGCACTGATGTGATAAAAGAACCTTCAGTTATTGTTCACCTTGAACTCTGCACCAGACCGTCACCTACCTCCCGGAAAAGTGCGCCATAGAAGGTGACAGTAAATGGACAGTCCACTGTTCTCATGGAGACATCCAAATCCATCAATAGCCTTTTCTGCTCCTGGCTATTTACAGTGGCCCGGATCCGCTGCATGAGAAAGCACAAGAAATTTATGGGTGCAACTCTGAGGATGAGTCAGCCAATAAGGCAGTCACCTCAAGGAGCCCCATCCTGAAAACAATACAAAAATTCACAACTGCTAGCACCTTCCACAAATCAGTGCTATAAGGGGGTTTGAAAGATACAGTGAATAAATAAAAAATAATTATTACAGTGAAAGACACATTGCCAAAAAACAAAGGGATAAGCGTGTTCAAAGCAAGGAGAAATATTTTGAGTACTCTAAGGATTAATGGCAATGCATCTTTTACTGTAATTAGTTTTTTAAATTTAAACATTAACTGTATTTTATGATCATCCCTCATTGATTAAACACTTACAAGCACTTTCTGTCAAATGAAAACATTACAGTGTGTCATCCACCTTATTTACTGCATCAGGCACTGTGTAACTTCTGGCTCTTCTCCAAAGTCAAAATGACCATGAAATGTTTTTAAATGAGTCAGGCATCAAGGCAGCTATGACAGCGCAACTAAAGACACTCATGAAAGAAGCCTTCTAATATTGCTTCAGAAAGTGGCAAAAACGACGGGATAAGTGTGTTTGAAATGAGGGGGTGTGTTTTGAAGGAGATTAATGGCAATGTCTCTTTTACTGTAATACTTATTAAAATTTTTAAAAATATTCATCATATTTTTATCTCACATGATTATAACAAATGTAAAATAAGAAAGACTATGGTCGTTTGATTTCCTGAATAGTCCCTGGTAAGAAGAAAACTGATAGTTTGTTTTAGAGAGTGGGCAAATGCTTGGGAATGTATTTCCAAGGTGCAAAAAAATTCTGGTTTACTGTATTATAACTGCTCAGTGCAAAGAAGCCACAATATGAATTACTTTACTGCTCATTTTGGTACTTAAAGAGAAAAAAGTCAGATGCCCCTCTTTAAGAAAATGTAGGATTATAATGACAGACAGCCCTCTGTACCTGAGTATTATTTCTAGAAATTGCCCTTCCTTCCTAGATACTAAAATCTAAGTATGTTTAAATCTCTTAGATAAAATGACTTAGTATTTGCAAATAACCTATACATTATCTTCTCATATACTTTCAATCAGCTCTAGATCACTTATAATATGCAATACAATGGAAATCCTATGGAAATAGTTATTATACTGTATTGTTTAATGGCAAAAAGAACACCTTGCACATGTTCAGTATAATTTTTTTCAAATGTTTTTGATCCACAGCTGGTTGAGTCTACAGCTGTAGAACCCATGGATACGGAGGCCAGTGGTATTTGGAATAAATAGCAACTGTAATAAAACTGTGACAGCTGTGAGACTTAGAATCAAACAAAAGGAGAAACCACTCATTTCTACTGAGCACTTCTGAGTGAAGCAAAACCCATCACAACTCCAAATACAACCTTGCAGAAAGGTGATTATGTCATTAACTGACAGGAAACATACAATGTCACCAGGCCTTCACAGGTTTCGCCTCTTTATGAGAGTTAGCAGAACAGACTGGAAAATCTACAAGAGAAAGGGTAGAGAGCTCCATCTTCCAACAACAAAAGGATCCAAGCCTCCAGCCATTCCTAACAAGGGCCCAGATAGGCTAAGGCATCTAAAGATCCTCATTCTCTAAGATCCTTCTAGCATCTACTCAAGAAATACAGACTGATTCCAGATCTCTGTTCACGGATCAAAAACTGTAAATTTATACTAGATGTCTCCTTTTTCCAGAACAGAGACAATTTTCTGTCTCA